TTAATAGTTAATTTGCTTCTTAGTAGCTGGTACAGTGCTGTGTTTTGGATTCAGTATGAGACTAATGTTGATAACTCACTGATGTTTCAGTTGTTGCTAAGTAGTGCTTACCCTAAGTCAAGGCCTTCTCAGTGTGTCATGCTCTGCCAGTGAGGAGTTATACAATAAACCATGGGGGAACATAGCAAGGACAGCTGACCCGAACTGGACAAAGGGGTATTTGACACTGTCCCTTGACACTGTCCCGCATGACATCCCTGTCTCTAAAAGGGAAAGTAGGATTTGATAATGTAGCAGGCTGCTCTGCCTATTTTGCAAAGCTATCTGTGGTGGACTGAGAGGGTGTGTCATACTGCTTTTGGTGTTGAATTATGTTAAAACCAGTCTGACTCATCAACCCCAAAGTTAAACATCCTGATAGTGAGGTAAAGATGTGGCAGATATGGTAAAGTATCCTTATCTAAAAATGAGAAGCTGATGCAGCTGGCCTGGGGACACATGACTGACAGTCAATCACTTTATACTATACAAGTCCAGTCCCACTTTTAAATGAGAGGTTCTTCTAACATACCCCTTGTTGGAGTGTGTGTGAAGATTCCTTCCTTGGGTGGGGACACCCCTCAAGGTTACTCCTTGAGGCTGAGTGAAAGAGATTTGTGTCGGAGGTGGGTCAGCTGAAGCCTACAGAGAATGGAGAAAGATGCATAAGGGCTGCGAAGGAGCCTCAGAGGAAGAAATTTATCTGGAAGTTCTTTGACAACTGCAGTTGCAGAAGTGCCTGAGACCCAGCGATAAGACATGGCCTCACAAAACTCCTGTAGAACTCCCCTGTCTGTGCCCCCCAGACCACTCCTCCCTTTCCTTCCCTGCTCTCCCTTCCCCTTATATGGTCAGACATATTCCCTATGGCCAATCCCTCCAATTTCCCTTATCACTGACCCTCGGGATTTGATGTTCCTAGCAGGGGCCCCACTTTTGTTCTCGACCCTTCCATATTCCCCTGTATATAAACCGACATGTTGTTTTAATAAATGCCATTTTGGGGTCATCCATGTGTGACCGTCTCCTAACCAAAGTGTGCCACGAGGGTCTAGTCTCGAGGGATTAAATCCCCTCCGCGATAGATTTGCCTAGTCATTGGTATGGGTGAGTAACATCAATCTCTACCTAATAATTGGGGGTTTTTGCTATCTTTATTATAATTGCTTTGATATAGTACACTATACTAGTAGTTTTAGCTTCTATACTCTGTAGTTAATAATTCTGATTAAGATCTTTTTGTCTAATCATTTGTCATAATAAATCATTTGTCATAATAAATCATTTGTCATAATAAATCATTCATTTTTATTTAAATATATCTGGTTTGCCATCCTTAATCCTGTGGGTCAAGTTGTACAAAGGCTCAATCGCACCTCTATAATTCCTTAGGTTTAAACTGTTAACAAAGTCTGGGGCTAAGATCGAATTCAGCCACACCCAGGCTCCTCTCTGAGAAGGAGTTCAGAAAGCAAGGGGGTTGTTTCTGCACCTCATGACTCAACAGGAGGGCTTCTCTAATAAACTTTGTCTGAAGCTCCCACTCCACCTGCAACAGACAGATAGACCACTTGGTGGATAAGGAATTGGTTGGATGATTGCACTCAAAGAGTTGCAGTCAACAGCTCGATGTCCAGGTGGAGAGTAGTGATGAGTGGTGTTCCTCAGGGGTTGGTATTGGGACTAGTACTGTTTAATATCTTTGTTGGTGACATGGACAGTGGGATTGAGTGCACCCTCAACAAGTCTGATGACATCACTGAGCCATGTGGTGCAGTTAACACGCTGGAGGGAAGGGATGCCATCCAGAGGGATCTTGACAGCTTGAGAGGTGGGCCTGTGCAAACAACATGAAACTTAACAAGGCTAAATGCAAGGTATTGCACCTGGCTTGGAGCAATCCAGAGCACAAGTACAGGCTGAGTGGAGAATGGATTGAGAGTAGCCCAGCAGAAAAGGACTTAGAGGTGTTGGTGGACAAGAAGCTTCACGTCTTGGCAATGTGCGCTTGCAGCCCAGAAAGCCAACCATATAAAAAATAATCTGCATCAAAGGCTGCATCAAAGGAAGTGTGACCAGCAGGTGGAGGGAGGTGATTCTCCCCATCCACTCTGCTCTTGTGAGACGCCACCTGCAGTACTGCGTACAGTTCTGGGGTCCTCAACATAAGAAAGACATAGACCTGTTGGAGCAAGTCCAGAGGAGGACCATGAAGGTGAACAGAGGGCTGGAACACCTCTCATATGAAAACAGGATGAGCGAGTTGGGACAGGGTTGTTCAGCCTGAAGAAGAGAAGGCTCCAGGGTGACCTTATTGCAGCCTTCCAGTACCTAAAAGGGGCCTACAAGAAGGCTTGAGAGGTATTTTTTACAAGGGTATGCAGTAATAGGACAAGGGGGAATGGCTTCAAGCTGAAAGAGGGTAGATTCGGATTAGGTATTAGGGAGAAATTCTTTACTGTGAGGGTAGTGAGGCACTGGAACAGGTTATCTAGAGAAGTTATGTATGCCACATCCCTGAAAATGTTCAAGGCCAGGCTGGATGGGGTTCTGAGCAACTTGGTTTAATGGAAGGTGTCCCTGCCCATGGCAGGTGGGTTAGAACTAAATGATCTTTAAGGTCCCTTCCAACCCAAACCATTCTATGATTCTATGAAAACTGAAGCCTGCACACTTAGATCATGTTTGGTAGTATAACTGATGTGGTATATTCCCTCTGGACAGCTTTTCTGTATGTAAAAGAATTCTAGTTGCTGTATTAAAAAACAGTGGATGAAAGAATGCAATAGTGCTGTTGCCGCAGCACTGAAAACACACCTTTTTTAACGTGTAAACTATCAAATACAGTAAGTTTCTTTTTTTTTTTTTTTTTTTTTTTTTTTTTTTTTTTTTTTTTTTTTTTTTTTTTTTTTTTTTTTTTTTTTTTTTTTTTTGTTTTTTGTTTTTTGTTTTTTTCTTGACACTTAATGGAGTCAAATATCTTTAGATTGATTATGTAAATGATCAAAAGACATTCCTGTCATTGTACCATTTCTTAATGGGTAAACTTTAAGGATGATATAGTAATTTAATTTCTCCTATATTTCAAAAGCCTGTTTCACAACAAATTAGCAAAGTAAGCAACCTCTGAAGAATTAAAAACTGCCTCCAAAGCCTTTTTCTTCTGGCTTTTTAAAAATACAGTTTTATATTTACAGTACAGTAAATAAAAATACAGCATTTGTTAACTAGATATTTAGAAGTTCGGGCATCTTTCTACTAGCAAAACCAGCCAACCTGTCTGTTTAGAGTATTATCAGTAAATTTTCCATCCACAAAACACAGATAGCTATTTCTTTTTAAAATACAAAGGTTACAAAATAAAATTATGCTACATGGCACAAAATGTACCATGAAACCATAAAAATTACTATGCTACATGACATAAAAAGTACTTTTTAGTGTGTTTTACCTGAAAGTAATACTGAAAACATGAAGCATTCAGAGGGAAAGAGTATCTGTTCAGAGACAAAGTTCCTAGTTACTCTGATCTGGTCAGTTTAAGTTACTAATTTCTCTACAGGGACACTTGTCTCATAAAACAGTAAGAAATCTCAGTAACCACCACCCCTCAAAAAAACCCCAGTATGAATTCTTAGTCCAAAAAAATAAATATACCTACCTGTTTTTTGAGTGTGATCTTTTCCTTCTAGATTGGGATTTTGAGCTAGACCTGGATTCTGAACGAGAATGGGAACGAGATTGACCACCTTTTCTTTCACTGCTCTTTCTAGACTCTGAGAGAAAAAAACAACATAACAATGTAAGCTCAGAACATTTAAAGATCCCAGTTAACAATCTGGCACAAGTGGAATGTACCACACTGTCATGGTTTTGCTTGTTCTGGAAAACTAAGCAGGAATTTTCCCTTCCCCCTGCCCACTGAGTGAATGGGATGTTGAATAGGCAGATTGGCTGTGCCTTGAGCTGCCTCAGAGGTGATTGGCACAGAAGAACAGCTCCTCCTGGCACCTCGGCTATCGGTGTTGAGTTGGATGCTCAAAGGGAAGACGCCCTCTACGCATCATGTCAGTGACGCTACATGGAGTAAGTGGATTGCCCTGATCACGCAGTGCACCTACATTGGAAATCCAAATGACTCCGGGATCCTAGAAATCATCACAAACTGGCCGGAAGGTGAGAATTTTAGTCTAGCAGATGAAGAAGAAGGAGAGCAGGTGGTACGGGCTGAGGAAACCCTATCATACAATCAACTACCAGAAGAAGAAATACGCTATGCATTCGTCACTGATGGTTCCTGCCGCATTGTAAGGATGAAACGTAAATGGAAAGCAACTGTATGGAGTCCCACACGACAAGTTGCAGAAGCCATGGAAGGAGAGGGTGAATCAGGCCAATTTACAGAACTCAAAGCTGTCCAGTTGGCATTGGACATTGCTGAATGAGAGAAGTGGCCAAAACTTTACCTCTACACAGACTCATGGATGGTGGCCAATGCCCTGTGGGAGTGGTTGGACAGATGGAAGAAGACCAATTGGAAACGTAGGGGAAAACCCATCTGGGCGGCTGATATATGGCAAGACATTGCTACCTGAGTAGAGAAGCTGACTGTGAGGGTCCGCCACATAGATGCCCACGTGCCCAAAAATCAAGCCAATGAGGAGCATCGCAACAATGAACAGGCAGACTGAGCTGCACAAGTTGAGGTGTCCCAGGTGGATCTGGATTGGTAGCACAAAGGAGAATTGTTCTTAGTGCGATGGGTCCATGATGCCGCTGGCCATCAGGGCAGAGATGCCATGTATAGATGGGCATGAGACCGAGGGGTGGATCTAACCATGGATACTATTTCTCAGGTTATCCATGACTGTGAGACATGCGCTGCCATTAAACAGGTTAAGAGACTGAAGCCCCTGTGGTATGGTGGACGTTGGAGTAAATACAGGTATGGGGAGGCTTGGCAGGTTGATTACATCACACTGCCACAGACCCATCAAGGTAAACGCTATGTGCTCACCATGGTGGAAGCCACCACTGGATGGTTGGAAATGCATGCAGTACCCCACGCCACTGCCAGAAATACTATCCTAGGCATTGAAAAGCAAGTCCTGTGGCGACACAGCACCCCAGAGCGGATTGAGTCAGATAATGGGGCACACTTCAAGAATAGTTTAGTTACCACCTGGGCAAAGGAGCATGGCATTGAGTGGATGTATCACATCCCATACCATGCAGCAGCCGCGGGGAAGGTTGAACAGTGTAATGGACTGTTGAAAACCACCCTGAAGGCATTGGGTGGCGGGACTTTCAAACACTGGGATCAGCACCTGTGAGGTGCTTGGCTAAAACAGGCACTATGAATAAACCATACTATTAGGCCTTAGCCTGCCTCAGCAGGTTGCAGGAAAAGTACTGGCATTTGATATCAGGTTACAAGAATGTAAACTACTGAGATAACGAGAAGGAGCTCTCAGAGAAAGACAATGATTTCATATGCACGAACAGTGCATGGACACTGCATATAGACCAATCACATAGCAACATGTACTAACTAGTAAGAAGTATGTTCAAGTATTGCAAACCAATTATGTAGAGACATGTACTTAAAGTTAACCAATAATGTAGTGACATGTATGTGTGTGAAAGTATAAAACAAATGCTGTAACACATTAAAAATGAGATCTGCCTATCGATCATACTGGTCTGAGTGCAGTTACTCCGTGCCCTCTCGGTCACAAGCACCTTGCGAAGGCTACATGGTTAGTCAACACTAGAGGCTCCATCAATTGAGCTGGCCATGAACAGAGTCCCTTCACACTGTAGATGGAGAGAAAGTCCCAGTGATTCACATGAGGGGTATGTTAGGTAAAACAGTTTGGGTTAACCCTGCCTCAAGCAAAGGCAAATCCATTTGTGGGATTGTTTTTGTTCAAGGACCCGGTTGCACATGGTGAGTGATGCAGGAAGATGGAGAAACCTGGTGCATACCTCAAGGAGATATTATCTTCAGATGAACAGGCCATAACTCTGTATCTGTATCTGTACTTCTATATTTGTGAATGTGTATATAGTTTAGAATAATGCAGGTATGTATGGAGTTCACAAATTTTAATTTGATAGAGTGTGGCAGCATGGGAAAGAAAAAGTCAGGGGTGGATAATGTCATGACTTTGCTTGTTCTGGGAAACTAAGCAGGAATTTTCCCTTCCCCCTGCCCACTGTGTGAATGGGATGTTGAATAGGCAGGTTGGCTGTGCTTTGGGCAATGGACTAACACAAGTTGTTACCCCTGAAGATCTTGTCTGTGGAGAGGGGTGAGGAGTTACTTTTTACTTTTTCTTCTCCTCTCCTGGGAAACGGCAGGGACTTCATTGTTGCCTGGGTTGGGACAAGGTCTGGGTGGTAGGAGCTCTGAGGTCACTTTGTTCTCAGCACGATTGCCCGGTAGGTTTTGTTGCTTGTTTTTTTTCCTCCTCTCCTGGCCCTGGTTTTACCAGTGACCTGTTTTTCTACCCAGTCCAGGACCTGCTTGGATTTTCATGAGAGGAACTGTTCAGGAGGGGGGTCGTCTTCGTCCCCTCTTTCGTTCCCATGGGGTTTTTTTGGCAGCGGTTCTTGTGCACATCATTGGAGAGGGGAAGCTGCATCACACGGTTCAGCCAGCAGGACAGAGTGAGTTCCTGTTGGCAAGAACTTTTTTTCTTTCCCTCCTTTCTCCCCTTTCCTGGTGAGGGGAGGGAAGACCTCCATCTTCAGCTGTCGTGGTTTTGCTCTGGGTCAATTTGCTTTCCACCCCCTACACAATTACTACTAGTTGAGAGAAGGTTTTTTCAGACAAAAGAGAGACAGGATTTGGGGAAAATAGTATAAACATTTATTACTAGTAAAACAAAAACTTCTAATAAATTAAAAACTAAAGAACTATATCTACAACAATTTCTACTCAAGTTGAAGTGCTATATATTTACAGAAATACTTCTTCCCCTT